AAAAAAGTGTTTGTAGGTATTATTCTATTTAAGATCTTATATTGAAATTCTCTTAACCTAGTTTCTATAGTAACTATAAAAGGTAACGTATATATGCTCTTCCAGTTCAAGGATTCCTCACTTTCAATATGTCATATTTAAATTTTGCTGTTGGAGGTTCAACCTTTTTTTGAAACAAAGAAATCATAAATTTTCTTTGATTCTAACTTTGTAAGTTCAATTTTTTCAGAATCGCAGATAACATATTTCGTATTTTGATTCAATGGGTATGTAATATATGGTACTTGGGATGATTTACTTTTCAAAAGTTTTCGCCATTCCTGAGGCATTGCATTTTGCAGACTTAACCACAGGGAGCCCGGCTTTGGAATCTGTACATGAATAAATAAATCAATACAGTGCTTTGGGTTTCCTGTGTTGAGATTTGAAACAAGACGCCAATGATAAATAAGTAAATAAAGTACTTTGGGTTTCCTGTATTGAGATTTGGTAACTTGATAGCAGATTAATGTAAGTAATTCGAGAGCAGCTTATAATTCAAATTTAACGTATTAGTGTAACGCACGCCCTAGTAAATGGTAACGTTACGTTAATCTGCTATCAAGTTACTGATAGTACGATTACCGGAAATTCAACGTATCAGCGCTTTGTTTCAAATCTCAACACAGGAAACCCAAAGAACTTTGTTGATTCATTTATTCATGCACAAATCCCAAAGCCGGGCTCCCTGTGACTTAACATTATATAAAATTCCAAAGCTGTAATCTTTGTCCAACTTTTTGTATGCCTTTTGCAAACAGACCTTCCTCAAAAACTGATTTTTTATCGATACAGATATATTTATTGTTCCAAAGAATTTGATTTGCAACAAGTTCTAGTTTGGATGGATTCGTTTTACTTCCGTTACAAGAAGACCAAACTTCAATGCATTCCCTATAAAAATCTGGAACTGTCAGTGGTAGTTTGGAGAATTCGTAATCACAATAGAATAAAAGTTTTCCACCTACTCCTTTCAAATAATAATCTAAAATTTTGATCCAATCATTTACCGGATCAGTAAGGTACTTTTTAACACACAATATTCTTTGCACTTTTAACATTGACTCAATGTCTGACATCTTCAAGCCACCCTGATCTATCGGGCTGATATCAGAGATCGGCGCTTAACTTTGTCTTTTCCATGCCAAATGAACGAATATAATACACTGTTTATTATTTTTATAATGTCCTCATCACACGGGAACATCATCACACGATATAAACTTTTGGGTATCAAAAAAGATTTAATTATTTGAATTTTTCCTAATGAAGTCAACTTTCTCCAGTTCCACCTGTTTAAAATTTCTTTACATGACTCAATAATGGATTCCATATTTTTCCGCTTAAAGATTTCGGGGTTTCGAGTGAAACAAATCCCTAATATCTTAACATCATTCCTAACATACTTATTTCATGGCCCAATCTCTAACTTCTTTGTAGTACCCAGAATTAAAATTTCTGTTTTGTCAAGATTGATTTTAAGACCTGAAAAAGATTCAAAATGTTCAACTACTGAAAACAAAATCGAGAGCGAAGTTTTATCTTTAACAAAGGTTGTCATATCGTCTAAGAAGTTAATAAGTTTTACATAGTGATGACCTATATATTTATCCCCTTCACCAATGTATTTTGCCTAATCTGTATCATCAACAACTCAGTGACTACAATAAACAAATAGGGAGAGAGCGGGTCCCCTTTACGTACTCTTCTTTTAATATTAAAGTATGGCGTATGAAAACAATTATTTGTAACACAGCTAGATATATTCGTATAAAAAGTTTTTAAAAATTTCCAAAATCAAAAACTTTTAATACTCTAAACATGGAATCCCAGAAACAGAATCAAATGCTTTTTCAAAATCTATAGTAGTTAGGATACCTCCGAGCTTTTTTGATTCAACGTATTCTATCGTATCTTGAATCGAGCGTATCGCGTCGAAAATATTCCTTCCTTTAACATAAGCATATTGATTAAAGTGTATTATGTATGGTAAAAAATATATATGCTTCTAGTAATGGGCTCCTGATCTGGGAATATACTGGCTCGCAGACCCAGTATGGGAGATGGATGCTCCTAGTAATGGACTCGATGTTAACGTGATCAGCTTTCGTTAGATTTTCAATTTACTTACTTAACACCTCGATATCCAGCAGAGCACAAACATTCTCCTGTAACCGGATGGCACGACGCTCCATTAAAGCAAGAACATCTGTGTTGACATTCGTCACCATAGTGACGATGGTCACATCTCTTCTTGTTACAGTACTGTCCCTCCCACCCTTGGGTACACGTGCAGATACCATTGTTTGGAGAGCATGTAGCGTTATTTTCACAAAGGCATTCTTTACATTCAGGACCCCATGTATTTACAGCACATGGAAGACCAAACAAAAAAAACAAAAAAAAAGATAAAAATAGATTAATGACGTTATCTAATACCGTGTCATAGAGTATACCGACCTCGAGTACAATTCGGAATTGTAGGTACGAGAGATGTTTTGAAAGTTTAGAAAAACTGGACGAGCCGTTGACGAGCGATGAGTCCAAATATTTGAGAACTTTCAAAATATCACCAGTATCTATCACTTCCGAATTGTGCGAGAAGATCGTCCGATTTGTTTATAATACACTCAACAAACTCTACAGAGTATACAATTTGGGATTTAATTATACTGCTCTTGTCCAATCAGAATCGAGTAATTTTGTTGGATATATTATAAGTTGTTTAATTTTCCAATATTATTTTTGAGTGATTGAAATCCAGCAATTGGTGTCCCGTATAATCAAAGATGATTCAATCCACAAGATTGCTTGGGTTGGGTTGCCTGTGGTAATGCAATAATATCGATGAAACTGATACCTCTGCTGCCTGCTGCTTCGATGTAGATAAAGGAATATGAGATTGAAACGATCAGTGCTAGTGCCAATCTAAGACTTTGAAAGAAAAAAGGGCTTTAGTTATTAGCCATTCAGAGGTTGAGAAGAAACTGGATTCCATTGAGTTGCAGTGCACTGTGGGACTCTTTTAAGGGACAAAAATAAAATGGACACCATCTTGGAAAATGTACCTAAAAAATCAACATCAGGTAGCTCAAGCTCGGGGTTATTTAATTCTCTGTTGCTCAGCCTCCACTTTTAATAATATTCATATATAGAGGCTTTGCACCATCACGTGATGGCAGCCATGACAGGAGGCACAACAATAGAGTCGTTCTCTCCTGGGAAACTGAATTCTTTCTCATGTAAATCAGACTTGACCAGATTCAATTGTTCCTGCCCCCTGTCATGGCTGCCGTCACGTGACGGTACAAAGACTCCATGTGATCTTGTATTTCGGTGAAGGTGAGCGAAATTGCCCTATTTCACTATGACGTCATCGAAACAATCTATTGTTTAAACGCAAAGGATCATGGTCGTCGGAAGGGGCCAAATCAACGCAAATTCACCGAAAATTGTTCTAAAAGCCGTATCAATCCACGAAGAGAAGTAGAATAGCCAGCAAACGTCCAGAATATTTTTTAGTAAATATTAACACATATTATATCTGAAAACCAGGTCATTTTAGATTAAACTGTTTCGATAGGAGCAAATTTTGTTGAATTTTCTATTGGATTTGGGGATTCTATCCCCCACATAAACAAGCAGTGACGTCATAGTGAAATAGGGCAATTTCAAAGTGTTTATATATTGCTGGAAGAAGTTGCTACATTCTTTACTTTACCGTAATTGGTATCATTGCAAATATTCAGACACTGAAATGAGGATAAATCTGAGTAAATGAGTCTGTAGTCAAGGAGCACAGCGGTATCTTTTCGTAATAGAAAAAGGTCTATTGATGGGGATTTCTAGTTCCGAATTTAATCATATCATTCATATAAATCGATAGAACTACTACATTGACTTGATATTTGCCTTATCTCTCTGCTTTTATTSAGTGAGACTTTGGGGATTGATCAAACAAATTCAAATCCACACTTCAATCCACACTTAGGCAAGGAAGTTTTAGAGGTTTGATTTTTATGTAAGTTTTCTAGAAAAAAATCCGAAAATTTGATCAATTATGGCCACATTGTGCATAAAAAACTTTGGAATAGTTCCTTCGAAAGTTCCCGCCCTACCTCAGTCACGTGCATGTGACGCAGCTGGTCTAGACAGATTTTCAGTTATGAGATGGACCAATGCACTCATCATCAGCTTCCACGAGTGGTGGGGGGCTAGACCCCAGGCAAATATGGGGACTTTGCTTCAAGCCTAGAGAAAAATTAGTGTATTTCCCCACATGTGGGGCAAGTTTTCAAAGGACCCCTTCCCATATACCCCGGGTACTGTAATGATTTCTGTTCCTTGGTGGTTGCGAAATATGGCTTTATTTTGAGTATATCAATTCGGGCTACAAATGTGTATCATACAGTCTGATAGATGGATATAGGGTTTCAGTCAATGCTATGGTATCATATGACACACAGCATGACAGGTACCTGGGGTGGAATAATTTCATATTAAAAGTCCTATTACAAATATCAGAAAATTAGCACCAAATATGTTTATTTCCAAAATTCACTCAAAAAACTCTCAAGCAACAATATTCCTCTAATCCGTCCACATCTTCTTCAGTAATGTTGACACATGTACCATGAAACCAATCTTCGCAGAAATCACAATGAACCATAAAGCCTTCTTGCCAGGTTCCACAGATTTAAAAGATTTAAAATGCTATTAATACTCACCTTTGTAAACTTGATCCGCCATTTCATTGAAAGTATTTTCCAGTTTACTGGCGGCGTTTGATGACACAGCGACCCCATACATAGAATTGTTTTTCATAATACCCCTGGGTTCGGCAGGAAGATAAATAACCACACTTCTGTGCCTCTTTTGAATCTACTTAGAAAAATATTTTATCGACAAGCCTTAAAAAAACCCTCATCTACAAAAAGGTTGAAGATAATTTACTAATCCACTACATTTTCCCCAGGTATTGGGCCAAGAATTCTAGCATATTCCCCACTTTCCCCCTCATTTCCGCCTCCAGTATAGCCCGGGGGTCCCCCCCTCGTGGAAGCCGATGAGGATCATGAGTGCATAACTTTACGCTTCAAACTCCTGTGAAAGGATGGAACTAGAAAACTAGAGAGTACCTACTTAATAGGCTAGTTTGACGCAATTTCTAAAACTGAAATTCTTTGGAATCGAAGCATATAGACAAAAAACACTCAGCACTCGTGAGTCTATTGAAAATTCTCTGTCCTATAAGATCAAAAGAACATTTAAAGAAAATCACGCCACATTACATCATTGACAAGTAAAAGCCACTAACCGTGAACTTCCGTGCGAAAATAAGTTTTATTTAAAAAATTCGAAATCTTAAATTAGTCTATACAACTTGTTAATGATTAAGATTAAGGAAATTTCAAAGTCATGAACTTCCGTGCGAAAATAAGTTTTATTTAAAAAATTCGAAATCTTAAATTAGTCTTGATTAAGATTAACGAATTTTCAAAGTCATTTATCGGCTTGAGAACTTCACCTATTATTTCGTAGAGTTTAGTCTTTCCTCGAACGTTTCTTTGTATGTTGATACATCAAGCATTAATTAACCAGTATAATATTATTAAAAACTTATGTTTCATTTTGTATCAAAAACTACATATTTAAGAAGGCTTTAAGTACCAGGTGTATATATCAAATATCACACAGGTATGTTAAGGACTTGGTATAAAGAAAATAATGCCTTGACTTAAAACATCTGGCAAAATTTGAGCCGGTTCAAAGGATGAATATTGCTTGAAAATAAACATTTCCAATGCTAGTTTTTAGTTTGGCAAGACACACTAAGGTCATAGATAAAGTCATGCTTTTAAACATCGGTTTGAGCGGTCAATAACTGTACCCAAGTCTAAATCAACAAAGATTATTAGTAATAGATATTTGATAATATACACCTACTTGCAAGAACGTACGTTGTCATACGATATTAGAACATTAGTAATTTAGTGAGAAAGGAATACATTACAGTCAAACAAGCTCAAGCGTTGACCCCTAGATTCGATTAATGAAATCATTAGTCAATTATTCCTTTTATACGTACGAACCGGAATAATGCAATATTGCAATATTCAAATGAAAATTCAGTTCATTATTCGACTCGTGATGAAGAAGGTAAATCATCTAAATTACAGATACCATCGATCAGAAGTCGCTCTCTTATTTCATAAACATACACACTTGGTTTTATAATTTCCATGCCTCAATTACTGTACTTGGAGGATATTATCAATAATTTTGTAGGGAACGCTCCCGCCTTGAGCGAAATGGAGACACAGTTCCATGTCGGTCGATAATGTTGAAGTATTTTCCGGACTCCCTAACTAGAAATTTTCAGTTGTCGCGAAATTGCTTTATTGGACAATCCGCTATTGCTGAGATGAACAATTTCCTGTCGAATAATACCAGGTAAACGCCTTCCCGGCACATAAACACGGCCAAGTCCATTTCTGGCCGCCATGTTTTCTTGGTCTTCCGGCTGTGTTAGCACTGATTAACCAATCAAAATGTCGTATATTGAATTTAAAGTTGATTGGAATTTTTATATCTTCGTTTTTGAAGTAAATTTCAATTGAATAATGAAATCAAAATTCGAAAATTCAAATCATTAATCGACTCTAGGGGTCAACGCGTGAGCTTGTTTTGACTGTAAAAGACAAAAGAAAAAGTTCAGCTTCACATCCCACTAAATGACTAATGTTCTATTTTCCGGTATGACAACGTTCTTGCAAGTAGATGTATATTAGCCTTCGTGATATTTAGATATTTACTTGCAGCTAAAACCTGATTCAGCTAAGGTTTACAATTACAACTTAATGAGTAATCTAATATAAAATCATCTGATCTAGCTAATGATCATGATTTACAAATTAGATTGAACGATAACATCATATCGTGGAAAACTAATGATCTATAAACATAAATATTTATAAAATCTTCTTCAGGAATACCTTGTATTTATTGAACGTCTGGATGGTATTTGGTTAAGTCTTCGAACTGTGCTCACTGTTAAACAAATAGAAAGACTTGAGAGAAACATTACAAAATTAATAATAACAAAAATATTTCTATCAATGCCAAATGTCACGAACAAAACATGTTCTACTTAACACGGACTATAATGGTCTGCACTCTAACACTCTAATAGAGTAAAAGCCGTTTGATGTTTAGAATATTTGCAGCCAAACTTGTAGAGCGATTTTATTGAACCCTTGAAAGAAAAATGACTATATACTTAGTACTACAATATGCAAATAGAAAACAATGGGTTTAGAGTCTACTACTAACTATTATGCATACTACTTTTTCACGAGTTAAATTTATCCCTCTACGTAACCAAGAGTCAGTCAAAGAATTTAAAGATCTCAAAAATTCTTAAACGGCCAGCAATTTTATTTCCAATGAGACAGATTAATGGTATTATTAGAAAAAGATTTTCGATGCATTCGAAAGCCATATTTTGGTAATAAATACCATGGATGAATATTTTTTTAAACGTAGGTTTTATAATTTTGCATTAACAAATTGAATTTTACAGTCGATGGCACTCATTAACGTGAATCGAGATATCGTTTAAGATTTAAACTGGCCATTTATTTCTCATTGGGTTCTCATTGAAAGACCAAAGCTTCTTGTTCAAAGACTTATAGTTCGTACCATTACGTTGATTAGCGGCGATGTATCGTCCTTTTCTGCTTTAAGCGACAATTGCAAGAATTCGGCTGAAATTCTGAATCTTCTTTTAAAACTTTCAGAAACGTTCCTGCTTACCTGACATTTTTTCAGTTCAATGGAAGACAATTTACCCCAGGTTTTGACAGTTTTGCAGGTTCTGAAGACAAAGCAAGCAGAATTAATATAAGCCTAGCCTACAGTTCAGTAGCAAGTTACCATAAAGCTGATGTTAGAAGCGACGATTTTTCGCGATACGCCGTTAGGCAAAAAAACTGATGCGTTTAACATACCACGCACGTAGATTTTCGGATACGGCAGCACGTTGCGAGTTTTGATTCTCCTTCAAAAACTAGCAACACGAAATGACGAATTTTCAGCAAGTTGATGCGTGTAACAGCTTCTTCGACAATTTTTCGCGCAACACCTACCCAGAATGCAGTTCAAGGACAGGGCTGATGTCAACAAACAGTTGATGAAGACGAACATTTGTTAGACGTTGTGGATTCTAGTTGCGCTTTCCTGAGATTGGGCTCCCTGTGTCCTCATGCTTGTTGACATTCGAATGTTTCAAAGTTTATTTCACTCGATTTCATATTTTGCTTTTTTTAGTGTTTTTGTCTTGTTGTTTTTTTTTGTTGTTGTTGTTTGTTGTTGTTGTTGTTGTTTTTTGTTGTTGTTGTTGTTTATTGAACAAGAACGATATATCCCAGTCTACACCATCGCCTGATGAAGAGTAGCAGTAGCAGGCTACTTTTGAGTCGGAACCCCTAAAAAGTTCACACGGCTAATATTTTCGACAACCCGCTTATCCTGATCAGTCGACCCATAGAGTTTGGATAAATAAGAGAGCACCGCCCGCTGGGTGGGAAATATTTGGCATAACATATAGAAGTTATTAACTTTGACGTTATTGTATTAAAAACCGTGAGAATGAAAGGTTAAACTTTGTTCTTTAATGTCAACATACACCTTTTGCCGTTTATTAAGAGAAAATGTACATTCATTTGTGCCAATAGTTGTATCAATAACGTGTAATGTACTTTCATCAACACCACAAGTAACATCATTAGCGCGGATCAACTTTCAATAACGACAATTGAATATACGTGTACATTCATAGGCATCAATGGACAATCAATAGCGCGTTTGTACATTCATATGCGCGGAATGTATTTTCTTGTGCGCGAAATTCAACTTCAATAACACCAAATGACAGACAATTGCATTTATAGACAATCATTTACCCAAAAGTGAAAATTCATTAGTGCTATTAGCATAATCATTGACAATCTATAACGCGCTTGGACAATCATGAGGGTCAACGTTACATTCTATAGCGTGGTTCGACAAACATTTGCATGATTCGAATGAACAATAAGAGAAATAAAACAATCATTAGCGATTTAAAAAAAAAAAAATTTTAACCTTCAATTTCTTCGCCATTTATACATCGTGGCAAATACGTTTGCATATATCTGAACCATTGATCACATTTAGCGATAGTGATGGTTGCCACATTTCTCTGGAACCCTTCCATTAGCAACTGCTTTCTGTAGAGACCTA